TAAATTGAGTATAAAGTAAGGGTTAATCCCAGAATAAGGAAACTTGTGATGATTTATTAGTAGAAACAGCGTTGCTAGCTTCAGTTCGGCCATCATGAGGATGCTAACCTAAACATGTGGGCTCATGACTCCAGGTTAGCTTCAGCCTGATATTCAGCATATGGATCTATAACCAATAATGGGTCTGATCTCCACTGGGCTGTTTGCTGCAGACTTACAAGGTGGGAGCAGTCTGTGTGCCAGTCCCACACACAGGAGCCCTGGGGCATCACGGTGCTGTAGGGGTAGGCCCCCAGCAGAGCCATGGAGGGCTGCAGCTCTGACACTGAGGCTGGGATCTGCTCCTCATCGCTGCCCTTTATCCCCTCGGCCTCAGACACCCCCTGGGCCAGATCACGGGGGTCCTCCTCCAGACCCAGCCTGATCCAGGGGTGGGGGTACAGACGGCAGACGGAAGAATCTGCGGGGTCTCCTAGCAGCTCTGACACCATGTCCCTGATTCCCCATTCCTTCTCTTCCTCCTCCTCTTCCTCAGCAGCAGGAGGCTCCGGATCATGGAAGTGAATCTCATAAGACGGAGTAGAGGCGTAGACATCGATCTGATCTGGGTCCACAGGGACCGAGATGTGGCTCGGCTGACAGCCGGCACCATTAATCACCCAGTCATGGTAACTGATGACATTGTGGACACTGGGGTGTTGGGAGGAATCAAAAGGTAAACCCTGGGTCTGCATCCTCCCCTCGTTCACTTCCTCCAGGTTGATCCTGTCTGATAATGAATGAGGGATCATGAAGTCAGATGAACCAGCAGGGGTGAAGTTAGAATGGATGAGGGCTCTTCTCTTCTCCTTCAACAAACTTCTGATCATCAGTAGTGAAAACATGAGCTGATATCTCCTCTGCTTCGCTCTCAGGTGGGTTTCTCTCCTTGTGGATCCGGTTGTTCCCAACGTAAGATGAGCAGAGTGAGCGAGAAAGGATGGAGAACCAGGATGCTCATCGTCTGCAGGTGGAGGCTGATTGGGTGGATGATGGATAAAACCTTCACAGCTCACTGTCCAATCAGAACAGAGGTTTCCAAAACTCTGCTCTACATGCAAAGAATCTGGGTCCTTCCCCAGATGGTCTGCAGGGTTGTTTCTCTGGAAGATTCCAGCCTGTTTGTTTTTTTTTAGTCTGAAGGACGATCTCTGTGTCAAAAACAGACCAACGTTCAGGTTTCAGAGTAAAATCCTTAAACTGCCCGTCACTGTTCTCCTACCAGGAAGCGGCTTTAGCGTCTTTATTTCGTGATTTGGGATCAGCTTCATTGGTGATCTTTCCAAACGTGTGTTCTAGTAAATCTGGGCGACTGGCTGGGCTGACTTACGTGCTGGGCCATGCCCGCAGCGTTTCTCATGTCCTGTTCGGTTGGCAGGAACAGGACGCAGCTGTCAGTCCTCTGCTCTGGGCGGGGCTCCTTACTAAAGCAGCACCCCATCTTCAGCCTGGGGAGGAGAGTAAAACAGTGATCTGTTACGGCCGCACTCACTAAGAGCCTAGACAACATGAGAGTAAAACCACGAGCTGCTCCTCCCCAGTCCCTCCCACTGCCTCACCCCCTCCGCCGCTCTTCCCAGAATAGAAGAAGTCGGGCTCACATGTCCCTGCCACTCAGGGCAGGCTGGGTCTGGGGGTGAATTAGGCCACAGATTCAGAGGGTCAGCCCCCTCCCAGTAACCCACTGACACCTCCCCCCATCAACCGCATCACTTCTTCATCTACATCCCCTCTGACATCAGGGCCTGTTATTCTGAATCGATTTTAAGGCTATTTCCTAAAGATTTATTCATAAAACAAAAAATAGATTTTTCAAATATACAATTCCTGCTGCCTTTACGGCCACATTTAACTACCATTACTTTATTATTTTGCAGTTGAATGTTAAAATGGTAGTGGTATCAATATGAGGCATACGTAACTACACAGTCATAGAAATCAGGTTAAATCCTAAAAAAATTTTTAATAAATAAATTCATGAATGTATTTAATAGCAGTGATCTGATCTGAGCTTGAAAAAAATAAATATTCTTTATCTTAAGAAACGTCACCCAGCCCTAACTGGGTCAACAGGGAGAGTTTCCTCTGATAATCAGCTGGAGTTCTCCTCCTCTTCAGGCACCTTGGAAGTTGAAAAAGTTTCAGACACTTCTCTAAAAGAACTCATTTTCCTCCTTACATTTGGCAACGACAAAGAGGACCGTTTAGTGTAATCCTTCACCCATGGTCGTCTTTTTTAAAACGCTCTTTCTTCCACCTGAGTTGTGGATCTCTGCAGCTCTTCCAGTTACTGCGGGCCTCTTCACTACTTCTCTAAAAAAAAAAAAAAACACTCCTCCTGTCCGTCAGTGACTTTAAGTACATGTTAATCTCTCAGTTGTTTGCAGTCGGTCCATCTTCTTTCATAATAACTTACATCTTTGAGATGTTCAGAGTTTGGGAAGCTTGTATATTAGTTGTTCCTCCAGCGTGTGAAAACTGTAAATCTGGCTTTTCTTTCATCAGTGACTTTCTTCCAGCAACTCCTCACTAAAACCAGATTTCTAGACTGCATGGACCTCTCAATCAATGCTGCATGTCCCGTTTGCTCTGAAGTTGGTCCATCTCTGTCCATGTTCAAATGGTGGATTGATCAGAGCTCAGATACCTGCCTCCTGGGTTCTTTGGTCTTCATGAAGACCAAAGTTCTCCTTTAATTCTACAACATTTTTTATTTCTTACTAGAAGATTTGTTAAGCTGCGAAGATATAGTGCTGAAATGGATCTAATACACAATATGTAAAGATTAGGGTGATGATAACAAGGCCTTCATACTTTTAGGACTTGTTTTTCAGGTTTTTCAGAAGGACTAAAGTTTTAACAAACCATTTTTTTGAAAAAAACAAACTGATCAGTTATGTTTCTGCATTGTTTTTTCCCGTCGTAGTGAAACGGTTGTTCCAATAGGTTGCATTGCTGAAT